CCCCGAAGCGTAAACGTTTTCAAGAAGAAGTCTAAGAGAGCTGAGCGGGAGCGTTGCTTTTCTTGAGATCTTTCGCTTTTTCGGTTCGACAGACTTTGACTTGATAGGGACTTTGAGAAAAAGAAAAAAAAAAACCACAACCGCGACACCAACGGGCAACGTAGCAAAACAAAAGATTTAATTTGCATAACAAAAGCTCAGCACGTGCGTTTTGGAACTTTGTACATTTCTTAACCTTCCCATGCATAACAACAAAGTGAAATCTTCAAGTTTAGCGCACACTTAGAAAGTAAACCCAACGAGCTACTGGCGAAACTATTAGTAGAAATGGAAGTTTATTTTTAGGGGAAATTTCCCCTACATCTTAAATTCCCTAATAAACTTTGAAGGTACCTCAATATTTTTTAGGAAAGTTTGACATAGTAACGTTTTATTTATCACATTACTTAAATGTGTACTTATTTATTTACAAATTTTTTATTATGCAGTTGAAATTTTGTCTCAATCGAGTTTCGAACAACTCGTTGTAGAAATCTTTTTTTTGCTATTCTTAATTTGGTGCATTTGCTTTCTCTCAGCTCGAGAAAATTAAGCGAATCAAGGAGACACGAAATCAAGACGAGGTGAAGACTTGAAATGTTTGTTTTTAGTAGTAACGGAATTCTCCCAAGAGAGCGGTCTCTACCTTAGTTGGAAAATAGTCTGCCTACGAACCGAGCTCAAAAGTCGGAGTTTACTGCGGTTTCCTTAGATAAAGCAGCTAAGAGTATTGGAACTCCCACTGTACGGAATGTCAATCAATTTTCTGGTGCCCTGAGTAGAGAAAGGCTCTGAGAGAGAAAGAGTGACCTGTCCAAGATCCAGTAAGCAGAGTTCGAATAGTCTTTGTGACCCAAAATTTCCCTTGCAAGCAACTGGGCCACAAATTGTGCGTAGGGCCAGATTAAATCTTCCCGTTTATGTGAAAGAGTGGCATCCATTGTTAATTTTTTATTCGTTAACGTACATCTAGTGTGGAAGTCCACCAATAGGCCAGTTTACAGTTGTGTACTTAGTTGCCAAACCTTTGATTTGGAGTGAGGCTGAAGGTGACCTTGTTGTGATAGAGACATATCATAACAAGGTCACCCTTAGCCTCACTCCTGTTCAAAGGCTTGGCATTCAAGTCCGTAACTGTAAAATGGACTATTCTAAACGTTTTACTTTGCAGAGTTGAGTAAACAAGTTCATTGAACTTTCTTTCTTTTCACCGCAGGTGAATCTTGCTATGAATGCCATATCAGAATGCTGCAAAACGGGTGAAGGGAATCTTCTTGACCTTGCTGTTAAGGTAAGCTTTCAACGTTTCCTTTTCGGTGACCAGCTTATGTAAATGGCGAATCTGTGTTACAAAGCACGCTGATTACTAAAGACTGGTTTAATATCAGACAAGAGCATCTGTATCTTTGAGTTATAGAACAAGAACATATTTAAGAAACACAAACTGCGGCTTGTAAAAATCTTTAGAGCTCATACTCATTTACATTAGTTATTTTATTGGTGAAAGGTCTTCATGGTTTTGAGAAAATAAAACCCGACTAAAATTTCAGCTGGAGCGGGATTCGAACCCATCCAGAATGATGTCATACCGCGATATAGTTTGAAACCTTGTTCAAGGCTGATTTTCTTTTGAGGTTTAATGTTGACTGCTTTAAATTGTGTATATCTGCGATGATCTTTCATCTTTGATTATCTCTATTTCGAAGTCAAATACACAATAGCAGGCGGACAGGCCTCCATCAATTTATTGGCACTCGCATTGAGCAACGCGAGTCGGCGCGAGGTCAACAAGGGATCTAGCGTGGATAACTATTAGCGCCAGACCCTCGGCTAGCTTCTCCCCGACTTGTCTCAGTTCTTATTGCGAACGGAGAAACGTGCGTCCTGCAGCGCTATCAGGGACCTTCGGCAATAAGGACGTCGCAGAAAAATTAGAAAAAACGATGAAATGGACAGAACTTCTTCCTTAGCGTTGCTGTCCTGACTGCTTAAGGTCCCTATAAAAATAAGAGTCTATCAGCAGGCTAAGTGCGTGTTAAATGTTTTCACAATTGCAATTTTTGCCTTGCCTGTAACGCATGTATTCTTTGACTTTGCTGCAAGGCGGTTTGTATTTCTTTGAGGTGTGCATGATTACATGCAACGGAGGTAAAAGGTAAAATGTTCTTGCCTTTTTTCCTTTGTTTTTGAAGGCATCAAGGGTTCGTTGCACTGTGGGCGAGATTACCGAGGCAATGGAAAGGGTAAGTGATGAAAATGGAAGTTAATTAGTGCGTCTATGCGCATAAGTCCTCGGCCGGAGAACGCCATTGATTTCCCTCGGTTGCCAGACAAGTCAGTCAAGCTTCCTTCATGTTCAGCCTCTGTTCCTTTTCTCCTTTTCAACGGTTAAGTTGTAGTTATATACCATAAATTTGGAGAACTCAAATTTAACAAGTTTCAACGCCCATGTAAGAGCGGAATGGAAATGTCACAAGATTTATAAAGTGCGAGTAGACACAGACAGACTTATTTTCTTCCCGATTTAAGGTTGTTGGAAGGCATGTCGCCAGTGATCGCATGGTCAGCGGTGCCTACAAAACAGAGTTTGGCGAATCTGATGAAATCAGCCAGTGTATGAAGAAAGTTGAGGTGAGTTGAGCCTGAAAATCGGAAAAATTAAAGAAACAGTCACGAGCAGACTCTCAAGAAGTAGCCCTCTCAGTGTTCTATGCTGTATAAATTAAGGAAGATGAGAAAAACGTAATGAGTTCCGTTGGGGAATCATACCTCAGATCTTGCCTCTAAAGAGAAGTATATTCTAAGCTAGGTCTTTACCGGGCTCATTGCGTGCGGTGACGTTGTAGCGATATGCCTTTCATTCAGACTCCCAGTCTGCGAATTGGACCTTTACCAAGTTGGAGAGAGAAGCGCCGTTATCGTTGTCACCTTTCTCGAAAGCTTGTTAAATTTCCGACTGTTTTAATTAGAATTTGGAGCAAATATGTAGGCTACGCGTACGCTTAACTTACATTGTTAAATTAAGGGCGTGATCGCTATTTCGTACCCAGACCTTTGTGGAACAGGAGGGCCGTCGACCCAGGATCCTTGTAGCTAAAATGGGTCAGGATGGTCACGATAGAGGTGCAAAGGTTATCGCTACTGGATTCGCTGATCTGGGATTTGATGTCGACATTGGACCTCTCTTCCAGGTGAGTGGCCTTACTCCAAAAGCGTCAAGTAATTCGATAGTCCGCCCAGAAAGATTAGGTCATGAATTTTTCCTTATAGGTGGGCGACCTCTTTGGGGCGATGCCCTGGAAAGGAATACCTAAGTTGAGTGAAAATGATGTGTGTTCAGCAAATTGCTCTTCTTCTCGTCATAGACTCCTAATGAAGTTGCTCAACAAGCCGTGGACGCGGATGTGCATGTGGTGGGGATTAGTTCCCAGGCTGCTGGACACAAGACCCTGATTCCTGAATTAATATCTCAGATGAAGTCGATGGGAAGAGGGTAAGTTTGAGGGTTTTGTGGTAGGGGCAAGGGTGGAGGAAGGGAGGGGGTCATCGTGAAAGTTTACCTTTTAGACATGTTTGAATGCGTTTTGGGAATACTTGAAGTCGAGGCTTTCACAACAGCCAATCAAAATGAGGAGGATGTTGAAAGAGAACTCGAATTGATCCCGCTAAATGTGAGGAATCGTTTGCAAGAAAGTCGTCATTTTTTGCAATTTGGTGCAGATTTTGGTCGAGCTTCTTGGGGGTAAAAAAAAAACTTGGGCTGTTTCTGTTCATTTGAATGCTCAAACAAAGCTACTTTTAACCATTTACACCATAACATCAATAGTTATTTTCTTGCCGCAGTTCTCTGTACGTTTCCTATAGTATTGACTAGTGTTTGACAGTCAGGTGTTTCTTAGACAGGTGATCGTTTTCTCTATTCTCACAACGTTCGCATTGGATTTAAGGATGATCCTACAAGGAGAAATTACAAGCCCGTCACTCTTAGGATTGAAAGGTTTAATTGATATCGTACCACTCAAACTGAGTATAGTCACCAGCTGATTATCACGTTTTTTGTGTGTCTGTGTGTGCTGATTTCTTTACAGCGATATCGTTGTTGTCTGCGGCGGTGTTATTCCACCTCAAGACTATCAGTTCCTTTATGATTCTGGAGTTCACTGCATCTTCGGTCCCGGTGAGTGTAAGCGATGGCGCATGTGTGAGTTGAAAACTGCGCGGTGACGTTACGAGTTTCGCGTGAGAAAGAGAGAGAAAGCACCTTTGGTTTAAGTGTTCTAAAACCAAACCAAAGTAATCACAGCAGTGAATCAGACCGAAAGAAGCATCCTGGAGAGCTCAAGAAAATTCGAAGTAAAAATAAGAAAATTGTTTAAACGCGGGAAAACGCAAGTAACCAAGTTGCGGTTGGTTTTTCTTTTGCAATCATTTGAGTGAGTGAGAATGTGGTTTTGTAGACCAATCATGTAACGAATTATAGTCTAACCAATGCTCACCTGGATAATTTCCAATACTCAATTGATAATAGCTCGATCACGTCACTTATTTGAAAGCCTCCTGTGGTGTGGTGATGTAGCATGAATGTATTTTTTGGTCAAGTCCTTTTCCTTCCCCCAATTTTCTCTATTTTCTGTCCAAACTTAAGTTGCTCTTTATTGTTCTTTTCTCAGGAACACGCATCCCAGCGGCGGCCATGGATGTCCTAGAAGCTATTCAGAACAATGATGCTGACCAAAAGACAGCTGCATAATCTAACAAGCCAAACTCTAGACCGGTTTTCATAACACAGGCCCTCAAGTCTAAATGAAGGGTCACGTTGTCTCAAAAAATACTAAGTTTCTCCTGTGGCGTTACAAAGGGGAATTTTCCCGTTTAAACTGAAATCCCTCGGTAGTCAAAATTTTCAGGCTACCTTTATCTTAATATTTTTGGGGTTACCCTTCCTAAAAAAAACTCACCAAATGTAATGCGTTGCCGTCTCCCTTAAACTCATCCCTCTGCATCATTCTTTATTGTTCCGCCTTTTAAGTGCTGATTAATGTAATTAAGTTATGACACCTTTTTACTGTAAATACGGAATGTAAAAAGAGCTAGTTATCAACGCATTTATATTAGTGAACTCGTACCCAGTGATCTCTCATTAGTTCCTTTTATTGATAGGCGCGCGGAGAGAGATGGGTCGCCTTCCTTTGGAACTCTTGGTCGCGCGCGTACCTCCCTGACTCGTTCCAATCTCTCTCTCGCTTTCAAATATCAATAACGGAGACTAGGGATAAGTTTAAACTTGAGGAGCACTCATAGAGACTTCAATGATGTTATGGAACTATGAACAGACAAGCTATTTCAGCGAAAAAACGAAATCTGGGATGAGTGAGAGACTATTTTCTGCGCGGTAAGAAGATGGAGTAAATGAAAAGGAGACTCAAATGACAATGCTACAAAAAGAAAACTTGTTAACATTTCATTCATTCTTGTTTGTTTGAAAAGCAAAAAATGTGTTTAACTCTATGAAATGAAACTAACAGTTTTTGTGCAAAAAAAAGTGGACAGTAGTAAACTAAAGCCTTAAAATTACAAAGCGTAACGGAGAAAATTGAAGTATCCGTTTTGGGTATTTAAAGAAGTGGAGCGTGGGGAAAAAACCAAGCCCTATTTTTAAGGGTTAATGGTACTAAAAATATTTGAGCGAATCACTCTTAAACATATACGTTGATAAGGTTATAGGTAAAGTGAATTCATTATAGGCTTTATGGCAAAGACATTTGAACTCACACATTAAAGTGTTGCAGAAAAATTAATAATCTTTATTTAAAGGTTTGTCGTGAGCTAAAAAGAGGCCCACCACACGTCCCTTTGTAAAGTAACGAGATTCCACGTAAATTATGTGGAACTCGCCATTAGAATAGATAAACGTGCAAATATCCAAATCTTAAAAGTCTGCCATGATTGCGATCACATCCGGGTCTTCTTCGTCACTGTACTCCTCGACAACGACGTCCAATCCAGGCTCCTGCGTTTGCGCGAAAAGCGACAATCCCGGTGCAACAGTGTTAAAGATCGCTTTTGTTAGGAATGGAGGAATCTTCCCTTTGTTCTTGGGCGAAGGGCTGTCGGTTCGTGGTGGAGATGTGTCCTCAGGCTGTTGGTTGGTAGACGAAGAGGCAACCCATGAACCAGGTGAAGGAGGGGTATCCATTGGCGCAGCTGGTAAAGACGCGGCACGCTTTCGAACAGCTACTACATTGGTAACCTGTGGTGCATCTGAAGCCGTGGTAACCTCCTTTTCCGTGACAGCCTTTTTGCACTGCGGAAGAGGAGTAGTCTTCTTGGAAGTAGACGGTTCTTTTTGGATGGGATGAAGCTTAAGAGCTTTCGTTTGGGAGTCTTCCTCTGCTTTGAATAGTGCCCTGCGAAAAGTGTTAAATTTAAATTTTGCATAAGACCGTGTTGCATTTCAAAGATACTCACAGTTTGAGTGTAATATTACGACTTAAGACTCACTGAAAACCTCACTGTTGCGACTTGTCATCAACTTTTAACCTCTTAACATTACGAAGGGACCTGTCCTTGTTTGTGGCCTGTTGGGGATCGAAGGAATTTTGAGGGATCACGTGATTTTCAGAGGGGACGTAGGGGTAATCAGTCGTCGTTAACAGACTTAATTGGTATTTACAGAGAGCTACCTCGGTAGGGGGATCATACAAATTGTAACTGCCAACTACCGACCCTCCCCACCCTCCCCTCAGACGACAAACAATGGGCTTTCCCTAACACTTCAGTTCGCGTCGTTCTTTCGTGTGAAGTTATGGACCAGTGACCTAAGTCTAGCTCTGACTGAATTCTTTCTTGGTTTGCTTTTATTGCAGCTGACTTATGTAGCGGGTCTTTGTCTCAGATACAAAATTTCCTACACAACCCAGAACCAGCAGGCCTAATTTCTACCAGCTCGCTTTCCATATCACTTCTACCTAACCTCTCTGTTTCTTTCTCCATTGTCAGCGGCTCATTTAGGGTCGGCTCAAGCCCTATGCGACTGAGTCTCTCTTTTGCGACCTCCTCCAGCATGAGCTTCATATCTGGATACTCCTGAAGTACCTCATGAAAATGTAGGGAGGACAACGAGTACAGATTGCAGGTAGTCGCAGCTCGGACAGAGGCTACTCTGCGTGCCTCTCGCGTTAAAAGGCATATTTCTGGCGAGGAAATACACATTATATCAAGGATTTCTAAATCTGAAACTTTGCCACCGAACCAGTTAGGTGAATGGCGGAGGACCGAGGCTACTGGCAAGGGTACATGAAGAGCGTGAATGGAGCGAGGTGTAAAGCTTTTGCCACTGGAGTGGCATGAGTTTACAGCCATGCCTGCCTTAGCTTTTGGATAAATGTTTAACAGACTTTCGAGCTCCTAGACTTGCTGTTTTCATACATGAATGGCTTTGAAGAGAAAAGGTAGGGCAACTTGTAATTACCCACAGTTATCGCCAGGTTCGGATATTTTGTATGCCGAACATGCTTGTGTCTTCCGGCGTAAAAGGGTTTCCTTTCAACACTGCCACCGTTTGTAACTTTCAAAAATTACAACGGTATAGAGTATAAGAAAACAAATGTTGAGTGAAAGTTCTGGGTTGGATAGTAATCACGATCAAATTATTTGATAGAAGCAACTAACTTGATAAGTTTGCGTTACTTTACAAATATTTACTTTACGAGCAATTAAGCCTATTCATCGCCTGTGAGGGGAGGGGTGGAGGATTCTGTCGGGATCACATGGCTCTCAGGGGAGAAAAGGGAGGGATGATCAGTCGTCCCTTAGAGAGTTTAAAGGGAAGGCTACAGAAACATTGACTGCAAATTCTTCCGATCCCCACCCCTCCCCCCTCTCATAAATAACAAACAGTCCCGTAAGGAGACACTTCACTTCCAAATGCTACCAGCTTACCCCCAAAGTGTGAACCGTCCCCGAGGCTGGTGGCTAAAGTGCCGTCTTTTGTCAGAACATCGACAATTCCCCTTTGAATAAAGTACATCTTATCTCCTTTGCGTCCACTCTTACAAATATATTCACCAGTCAAATACACCTCGAATCGCAGTTTGCCAACGATATCCTCGATGAACTGACTACTGGCGTTACTGAAAAAGGGTACTGTTTGAAGCAATGTGCTAACGTTGTGAACCAAAATATCCTGCAAACCCAAGTATAGAAATTTGCTGGTATAGCATCCAATACATTTAGCAAATGGATTTCTTTTTGTCGTGCGTCTGTTTTAGTAATAGACCATAGATGACGACAAAATGTGGTAAGGCAAATGATTGGGAAATGAGGCGCTGCCGAGTGTGTCACCAATGTTCCTTCCACATTTTGGTGTCTTCTGTGGTATATTACTTAAGGGACCCACGGCAACATAGAATCACCTTATTTTATATGATGAAAAAATTATTAAGGATGGTTAATGATGATTCATTGATGTATTGATCCTCTAACAGATCATAAGAATCAATCAAAATGCGTGCCTAATTCTGCTTATTATATATCTTGATAATTGAATGCCTCATAATCATCCATAGAAGAAAAGGCAAGATGCCATTCTTTGAATTATGACACCGTCTTATTGGATAGTTTACCAAGACACCTCTAACCCCGGAAGTAAAATGATATTGGAAAGTTCTCTCACCTATAAAGAGGACAGTAATTGATATTTAACTAAACGGGCAGAGAAAGGATCAAATAAAAGCCACACCTAGTTAAGCCTAGTGACAGAAGTGTTTGAAATGCCCGCCTAACACAACAGTTTCTTTAGAAGCTAATAATTACCTTTGTAAAGTTAACATTTATTATATTGTTACACTGCTTTTCAATGACCATGAAAAATTCCCCTATGGGATGGGTACTACTTCACCGATCGAAAATACCTATATATATAATAATAATTTTTAACTCTTCCCTCTGATTGCTACACATTTTCTTGTAAATAAATTGCAAGAATTTGGTGTTAGATCAAGACTACTAACTTCTATCTGATAAGTTTGAGTATTCTCACTACATGTTGGCTGGATAATGTGTGGATGTTATAAGGAGAAGTTACATGTTAATCACTTGTGGGAGTTAAAGAGTTAACTACAATGAGTGGCAAAAGTCTTAGCACGCTTTTCCACTTTTTGATTTTTTTTTTCATAACTTTCTATAACTCTC